TCACAGCTAAGTTCAGGCAATTTCAGAGATTAAAGTTACAAACACATGGTTTGGTTTGTGTGAACATTTTCTGAAGAGAGATAATGGGCATATTGACTGGAGATGTTGGAGATAGAAGGACTCCACCGTGGAGACACCTGAAGCTGCAGAAGACAAGTGTGTTTACTTTTCCTTCGAGTTATTTATTCTCTGTTGTCAGGGAAAATTAACTACTGACTGGATTGAATTGAGAAACTGCTACATTTTCTATCCAGGTGTTGACCAGCGCAGATGGTGAGCTGAGAAAGCCCTTGACTGCACCACTAGAGAATGGAGATTAAGAGAGAAAATCCAACTCAAGTACCATACATCAATACAGGATTAAAAAAAAAACTCTCAAACCGCAGAGTCTTTTGGGGCGTAAAGTTCAAGTTGTTGATCATCAGTTTTGTTGCAAAATACCACAAAGTATCGACTGAGTTTAATGTAATGTGTGTTTTATTCACTGTAAACAACTGTGGCCGGAACTGATATAGCAGGGAACACACTGGTCTGAGTCACCTCCACTGTCCACTTCCAAATGTAATTAGGTTTCTCTATTTCTTTACTTTTATGAGAAGAAGACTTTATTTCTCCAGGGGAAAAGCAATTGAGAGGATACATGCTGTGGTACTTTGGTGCTCATATACAGTCCAGTCACCACCAACACCTGATAGAATTGTGCCTGGCAGTTATATTTACAAACTGTTGTAGCTTCAGGTGAAGTGTTAGAGTGCCACCTCTGGTTACACTCCATTACATCTACTTAGTTAGTTAAAAAAAAAAAAAAAAAGTTAAGAAAACAAGGTAAAGAATGATTGGCATCAGGTCTGAGTGTGTGTTTCAGTTTGAACCACTCTTTATTTGACGATTCACTCACAGCCTCATCTGTTTTCCCCATGACGACCCCAGTTTTGTTTCACTGTACAAGGAATAGAGATATTCTTTCAATAAAAACCAGCCCTTAAGCTGCTATAAGTGTTGGATGTAATTGCAGTGAATGGAATATCAGCTGAACACATATTTTATTCAGCCTCAGAGCTTCTTATCCTCCTGACAGTAACACAGCAGAGCTGACTGGCTGAGCTTTTCCAGCCTTACGGCACATTGTTGACACGTTTTAAATAAAGATATAGATGAAAATCTATTAAGTGAAGCAACACAGTAACTCCACATGCACTTTGCATGTAATTGTACAGAGCCAATCATTACTGAAGAGTGTAATAATGTCATTACATTTCCCTTCCTCTGATGAAGACTGTAGAAACAATCTCTGGGGAAACAGCTGTTCATTTTGCAGCTCTTCCAAAGCTAGATCTACAATAAAGTGATTTATTAGGCTATAACCCCAAAAACCTGTGCTGACATTCACAGTGCCAGCTGCTGTCAGACTGTAGCAGGAAAGAAAAGAAAACGTTTAGATTCAAACAAGTCAAAATTCAAATACCTTAAAATGTGCATCATCTCTTCAAATGTGTCATTTTAAATCATTTGTTCTGAACACTCTTTATAGAACAGGCTTCACACACATTTGTGTCTGGTGCCAGAGATGTAGTTCCTGCTGTGACGCTTATAACGTGATCGCAGTGCAGTCTCCACAGCAGCATCTCTATGATACAGACTTGAAAATAATAGTACACCTGGAGATTGGGACAAAAAATAATAGTACACCTGGAGATTGGGATAACATTCTTCACATTCTTCAAGCCTTTTTTATTGTTAAGACCAGGCTACTTATCACTGAAAATGTAAAAGGATGAATAAAGACATTTTTTCTAAACAGGATTTTTATTAAAGTTCCCACTTTTTTTTGGTTTTAAGAATGGACAATAACTACAGTCAAATCTATAATGACTTTAATGTTATCATTGAGGTTTAATGTTTATCTTGGAGACTTTTCAGACTTGCATTTTAGATTTTGGTATGAAAGGCACGGACCTGTGGTGCTGTACACCTCTCAGCACTCACTCAGTACCACCTTATATTTCCCCTCAAATATTCTGACGGCCATGTGGCATGGCACAGAGAAGACAACACCTAGTTGAAACTGCTCCTTTCTCCAACAAGAGCTTTTTAAGTTTTAACAGCAGGGGGTAGTTTTAAAAAGGTGAATATTTCCACCCAGCAACATCCTGCAAAAAAAAGTAAAATGAAATAACAAAAAAGGACAAAAGATGCTTTTCTGCAGATAAACATGACAGTGTAGTTTTGACTTTGGATTATTTTTACCCCTGCATTCTTAACCTTTTACCAAAAAAAAAAAAATGAAATAGACACTGGAAACAGTTTTCATTTAAAATTGACAACATTTTCAATTTTAAATCTAGAACACTAAAATCTGAAAAAAGCAATATTTAAGTGACAACATATCTTTTTATGGTAAATGATACAGTGGTATTGTCAAAAAAAGAGTGAAATCTGACCAAACATGAAAAAGTTAATTTTTTCCACATTAAATCCGACCTTGACCTCTGTATTTAACCTCAATTAAATGCTTTGAGCACTTGACATAAAAAACTATAATAAAGCTGCAGACACATGGAGATGGATCTGATGCTACAGGATCATTTTCAGTATCCTGGATATGATGCTAATTTTCATATATTTGTGTTCGATGTTTCATTAGAGAGAAAATTTAAATTTTCACCAAGTATAAAAACCCTTTTAGCAGCTATTAAAGATGTCTGTAGACATGAATTAATTAAATCAAGCGTCCTGTGGTGTCTGCTGGAAGGACAGACAAAGGATGAATATAGATACTCTGTGCATTTCCATACTAATGAAACGTTGCAGAGCAGTTTTTTTGAACCCTCTTTCAATCCTGCACCAAATCCTCTCTTTTATTCATGTATTCTTGGTACATCTGACGTCTCCTGAATATCCACAGAGTTATGAAATTAAATATGGGGAGCAAAGACCCAACGGCCCAGCAAATGGTGTGTAAATGCACTCAGGTGTGTGAAGGGCATGTGTTAAGACCTTAGAGGAGTGGAGACGGTGATTTACAGCCCGTTTTACCGCCCGGCTCAAATGACATTTGTCTCAATGTCAAACCGAACTGAGTGGAATTTGTTGGAAGGCTTTGTCAGGCAACTCCCTGTCATGTTCTTCTAATATACTTTACAATGCTGTATCTCAAAGACATCATCTTTAATCGACCACATCACCAGACTAGAGTGTAATGTACTACAAATCCACAAAAGTTGGTATCCTCCCAGAAAGACATTAAACATAGAAAGTTGTGGAACCGAGGAAAAGTGAAGCTGAGAATCTCATCACTTTGTGTAGATGATCGTCATGGCAACCCGTTTAGTTGTCAAAACAGTTATATTTCATGAGTGAGTTGATTTAGGGTAAAATACCATATTATATTTTGTGTAAACAATGTTGACGGTTATTACCTAAAAGCAGAAGGGCAGCATATGTTAGTAATAGATTTGAATTAACAGCTATGGCACATGTGTTTGTGTTAATGGAAGA